ACTATTGCGAAAATTGCAAAATGGTAGAGGACTTTTCGACTCAGTTTAATCCGCTCTATCTGCACAAAAGTGATTGGCAAAAAAGGTCGGGACACTCTGTATATGTGTGTGTATATACACCTATATATTTGAAATAATATTAAGCTTGCTTTTCCTGCATCATTTTATCTATCATCAAGAATTAATTATGATTAATATTTACAGTTGATTACCAACCAAACCAAGTTGAACACATTTCAGTCGTAAAAATTGTAGAAGAAAGTGATAATGTGTGTGAATTACGAACTGAAATTGTTTTTCAACCCGTTGAAGGTAATATTTTTATATTATTAGTTATGTATATAGCATTGTGATTATATTTTTTTAGACCAGAGCTGTAACTATAATATATTATCTTGGTCAGGAAAACATGATTTGATCAATTTTTATTTAAAAAAGGTAAGAGAGAGAGAGAGAGAGAGAGAGAGAGAGAGAGAGATTTTACGTTAGTTTGAATTGATCTCAATTTTATCAATAAAATTATTAAATTGTTCAGTTATCAGTTACATTCATATATATTTCTTCAGTCTTTAGATTTTCGCTTTTCTCTTAGACGCTTACGATACGATCAGAATATTACTATATCGATCCAATCGAGTAACGATGACTTTTCTAAAGCCAGTAATGCAACAATGTTTACTTTTATCACACCATCGTGTCTACAAATTCATCATAATTTAAGCATCTGCGGTAAGTTAATAAAATAATCAACTCATTTTGAATTTTGTCGAGTACATATATTTTGAGTTTTTTCTTCAAAGTTAAATTGTTTCAAGTGTATAATAATGTCTTTCTCGATTTTTATAGCACCTGAAAAAGTAAAAGGTTTGCAGATGGAATATATTCGAAAGCGAAGTGAAGAATTATATGACATTGCAGTTAATTGGAATAAACCTTTTCTACAACCGAATAATTATACGTTACAATTTAACTCGCTTCAATTTGAACCACGTTCACTAGTTGTACCCGGGGTCAGTATTATCATAATAAAGTATAACGATTCCTTTAATTAAAAACGTTTCTTATAAGAAAAAAAACACAAGTTTTTATTTTTTCTATAGGATGCAGTCAAAGCTCTTTTCTCAAACGTCGATGTAAGATTGTGGTATGAGATCAATATTGTAGCAGAATCAATGGGCGGTGTAAGTTTACTATCGACTATATCCGGGAGTATCGACGAAGCTTCAGGTAGGCATGTAAACATGATAATCATTTCAATCGTCATATGAATAAAATTGGTATTCAGATGAGACATGTGTGATATAATAGTTGCAGAGCTATCTTATCGCGAGATTATCGTAGCGTTATCAACACTAGTGATTGTTGTGGGGGTATTTGGAATAATTTATATGCAACATTGTAACAAAAGAGAAGAGAAGAATAAGCAAACTAATATGGAATATATGCATTTTGAGGTAAGTTCAGCAATAAACCAGTGCCATATTTATATGATGCAGCCAATTGTAAGATATACTACCTGTAGTTGACTTTTGTCATATAATCAATTTTCAATCTCAAATATATAGTAAGTCAGCCTCATTTCTCTTTCGATAAAACGTCGAATGTATACGACATAATAGACATCTTCTTTTTGATCGTGTTTGCGATCGCATTTGACCAACATCATGTTTCTATTAACAAGTTAATAATTTTATGCTATAAGATTTATACAGTTTTGCTGCTAATAATAATTCTTTCATTGAATATTATTGCGAAATTTGTCTTATTATTGAAATAATTTTTCTATTATCTCAAATCCAAAGCGATTGTATAAAACGGATTTTACAATTAGTATTTTACTAATTTTTCGCTTACAGGGTTCTATGGCTTCCCTAAAGAAACTTTTAAATCGGGATTATGCAGGAGAGAATAGCGACACTCTTTTGTCTCATGATAAATTTCTACTTGTTCCACAACGGCTAAAACTTAAAGGTATATTAGGCAGTGGAGCATACGGTATCGTTAGACTTGCTTCGTTGCAAGACGAATTTGGCACCATCGCAGACGTAGCTGTTAAAATGATGAAAGGTATGTTGATAAAATAAGACCAAATAAAAAAATCTATTTATGTCGATTAAATATAATATAATACATACTCAAGAGAAAATTACATTCAAATGAGTATACATATATTAATCGTACTGAAGAAGCATTAAAATGTATAGACGAATAATTTTATTCCGTATATTTATATATACATACAGATAATCCAACAGTAGACGATATAAAAAATTTTTATCGAGAGATTTCAATGATGAAATCCGCTGGTCAACATCCGAACATAGTGTCTTTAATTGGATATTGTACTTTATATAATAAACCTTTATTAGTAGTGGAATATTGTAGCAAAGGTGATTTACAAACATATTTAAGAACGGTGAGCTACATCAAAGAGTATAACATATGTATATGATGTTATGTGTGTATGTAACTTGAAAAATGCATTAGTTTTGTTTTAAGTGGTAAATGACATACTAATTGATTAAATCCAACTCTGGTCTAACAAATATAAATGAGCAATTTTTAGATGTGCATAAATAACAATTTTATTATTCTATGTAAGAACAGTACGTTTCAACTTGACTCAGTCCTCATCAGCTATATATGTATATATGTATGCTTTATTTACATCGAATCTAACCCCTCGCATAAAACATTATTATAAGGATCTGGAAATTCTTAAACATTGACTGTCTGTTCTCGTCAATCACCGAGGAATTGGTTCATAAATTGAAAAATGACTAATGTAACACATCTTTATAGTTTAGAAATAGGTTACAATATGGTTGTTATTTAAAACAGGTTTTTTAAAGTATTAAAAAAGTGAGATGATCCTTATAATAATGTTTCATGCGAGGGGTTAGATGTAAATAAAGCATACATATATACAGGGTGTCCCAAAAAGGTCGGGACACTTAAATATCTCGGGAAATATAAGTTTTACAGAAAAGTGTTTCAGACAAAAGTTATATGGTTTAAAAATATCTATTTACTGATCCTATCAGTTTGACCTTGGATTGCATAGCCAAGGTCTCAGGTCAAGGTTACATTAATTTTCTTAAATAGAACACCCTATTTTTGATTCAAGAATCTAATAGCTGCTGTCGAGAGCTTTCCAAAACGCTATAATGAAATATCTTTTTATGAAGTACTTTTCAAGTTATAATGCTTCAAAGTTACAGTACCGCCGGCATTAGCATTACCCAAAATATTTAATTTTGGAGACTGGCCAGTCAAGGCGAGATCGGTCAGTGGTCCGTGAATCTTGACCTTCAGTTAACGCACAAACAAAAACATAACGTAGCAAAAACATAACGTACCTCCATTGGCTGCATTATTCTCCAATCTTTGTCCGAGCACAAAAGACATGTCAATCCGTCTGGGCAACCTCCGCGTGGTATTACATACCTTAGGTAATGCTAGTGCCGGTGATACTGTAACTTTGAAGCATTATAACTTGAAAAGTACTTCATGAAAAAATATTTCATTACAGCGTTTTGGAAAGCTCTCGACATCAGCTATTAGATTCTTGAATCAAAAATAGGGTATTCCATTTAAGAAAATCAATGTAACCTTGGCTACGCAACCCAAGGTCAAACCGATAGGATCAGTAAATAGATATTTTTAAACCATATAACTTTTGTCTGAAATATTTTTCTGTAAAACTTATATCTCCCGAGATATTTAGGTGTCCCGACCTTTTTGGGACACTCTGTGTGGATATATATATACCGGGTGTCCCAGACCACCCGTCCACCCCTTTTATCTCAGAAGCAGAGCATTTTAGAAAGAAACGTTTCAGACAAAAGTTATGGGGTTCTAAATGATCTATTCAGTGATCAGATCAGTATGACCTTGGGTGGCGTCACCAAGGTCAGATCAATGTCACTTTGAATTTTTTAAATGGAACTCCCTATTTTTCATCGCATATTCTTGTAGCACACCTCGAGAGGTTTCCAAAACACTATAATGAAATGCTTTTTCATAAAGTACTTTTCGAGTTATAAGGCTTGAAAGTTACAGTATTGCCGGCATTAGCATTTCCCAAGAAGTACCAGGTGTAGAGGTTACTTAATCGGATTTAATCTCGTGTATACGTGAGTGCATACTTGCATACGGGCGTATATGGGACTCACGCGAATCAAGCACCCCGAACGTGAGAGGCAAGGGGACTCATGCGAATAAGCACCCCAATGGGATGAAATTCTCGTCACGTCCATGTCGTTCACCCTGATTAATGCTAAGCACGGGAAAATGCATGCAGTTTATCTGAACCTGATTGAGCATCAAACATAATCAGTTCAGTTAACAAATAGAAATAAGAACATTGTATACGTAATTTCGACTTCCTTTCTCCATTCCCATGTACGCCCGTACGTTAGTATGCACTCACGTATACACGAGATTAAATCCCATTAAGAAACCTCTACACCTGGTACTTCTTGGGAAATGCTAATGCTGGTAAAACTGTAACTTTCAAGCCTTATAATTCGAAAAGTACTTTATAAAAAAAAAATTTCATTATAGTGTTTTGGAAAGCTCTCGAGATGTGCTACAAGAATATGCGATAAAAAATAGGGGGTTCCATTTAAAAAATTCAAAGTGACATTGCTCTGACTTTGGTGACGCCACCCAAGGTCATACTGATTTGATCACTGAATAGATCATTTAGAACCCCATAACTTTTGTCTGAAACGTTTCTTTCTAAAATGCTCTGCTTCTGAGATAAAAGGGGTGGACGGGTGGTCTGGGACATCCGGTATACATATATCCAGGGTGTTTGAAAATTACCGGGTAATCGATTACGAGCAGGTAGAACGGACCGAATTGAATCGAAAATTTTTATACCATTTTGTAGATTTCGCAATAGTTAACAAGATATTAATGTTTAAAGATAGCCGAATAAGCGCGCCTACTGCTGCCGAATATACAACCTACCATCCCCACCGATCGCATGGCGCGCGGACCGCTGGGAGTGGGGATGGCCTGCTAGGCATGTCGTTCGAGTCGTTTGAAGACGTTTAGTGGCAGTTCCCACTCCCAGCGGCCCACGCGCCGTGCGATCGGTGGGGACGGTAGGTTGTATATTCGGCAGTAGTAGACCAGCCGGACGCGGTTATTCGACTATCTTTAAACGTTAACTATTGCGCAACCTACAAAATGGTATAAGAATTTTCGATTTAATTCGGTCCGTTCTACCTGCTCGTGATCGATTACTCGGTAATTTTTAAACACCCTATATATATATATACAGGGTGGACCATCTGAAGTGATCCAGTCAAATATCTCGAA